CGTCAGAACATCACACTTTTTTACACAGATGTGGTTTCATTACTGTGACTACCTCTGATGCCACCTTAAAGGCCAGAAAACTCTGCACCCACATTCCACATTGCTTTCTGTATTTCATTTTATAAATTGTTTTATATCGCAGAGTGTCCTTCAGCAGCTTGATGCATAACATACACGGTCTTTGACACAGAGAGATCAGCTCCAGAAATCCACATAAAAGGTCATTTTCTTTTTGTCAGTAGCTAATATGAAGCCAGCGTTTGCTACACTGACGGACCTCAGAACAGAATCTTCCACTGCAGTTTATAAGTCACCACCTTTGACTGAGTCCACTGAGCACAGACACTTTTCGTACATCGGAGAGAACAAATTGAGGTGTAACCTTTAGCTGCTGACAGCTGGGAGTGGAGCTGCTTTGAAGAATGCTGCCTATTATCACATGTATCCTATTACATCAGGTCATCCTGAGTCAGAGGCTGCGTGACTCATCACTGAGAGACCAATCAGTGTGAGTCATGGTGTCTGGTCCAGCCATTTAATGTGACTAAAAGGTCACTAAACAAACCAGCGTGACATATGTATAAGGCATTAGTACAAATATATACATGTGGTGTTATTATACAGTGTTTTAACATACATTTCTGCAACTACATTAATTCTGATACATGATTAACATACTGTAACTAAAGCTCATGAGAAAACTGTCACCCACTGCATTAGATCTGGAGATGTGGACCTCTTAGACCGGACCAAACATTTCTGAGATCACCCAGAAATTACTGGAGAATTTCTGAAGGTTTGAACTGCATCCAGTGGCGTTCATCAGTGGATGAAATGGTTTAGTTGAGTCTAACTGAGCAAAATTCATCTGCTAACGAAGGCAAAGCCAAGGTAAGGTAAGGTACCTATGACTCTATCTTAACTGCAACATGACAGAGTTTATGGTGTAAATTAAAAATACTAACACACCCGAGAAAAGTGTTCTGCGACCAGGAGAACCTGACGGACACACTTTTGATTTTACACTTTAGTTTGACTGAATTAATTTCCGTTGCTTCTTCCTACAGTCGTTCAGTTTTCTGGTATTTTAAAATTTACTTTGTAGTTTGTGCTTTCTATGATTGTGTTCCTCCACACGTACAATCTTTTCCTCCTCTGACCAGTATTGTCTTCTTTTCTTCCAAACAAACAATCTCCATGGAAACATTTACTGCTGTAAAATTGCTTTCAATGCAGTAAATGAGTTAACGTTTTTCCTTAAGTAAGGAGACCTTTTAAGGGATTCTGTTCAGCTGTGTAAGTTCCTCAGTGAAAGGGAAATTAATCCTTATTTAAGGAGAAAAACTTAAGGTGTTTTGCGCAACCGGTCCCAACCCGGTCCCCGCTACGTTCACCAGTTTTTCCATTCCACATTTATTTGATGGTGACAGCAGAGAGACAGACAGGAAACATGGGGGGACAGAGGAGGGTGTCATGCAGCAAAGGTCCCCTGTTGGAACGCAGCAGCTACATGTGTCTGACTCAACCACCAGGTCACCAGGGCGCCCAAAGCAAGCCTGTTTGCTTGAAAATGGCTGCCTATTAATTGTTTCTAGGGTGGTCCAGCTGTTAGACTGAAGCTTAAAGTCTATTTGCAGCTGAACCAAACCTATTAGCTGAGACGTGTCTGCACAGAGCTGCTGAGTTAGCTCATTCCCAGTTCCTTCGTCTCTGCTACAAACCCCATCTCATCTAGTCATGTGATTCAAGTTAATGTGAAACATATTATGCAATACAGATTTAATCAACATTTTTGATGTGTGTGTGAACAGCCAGTCAGCCAGATGTGACACTGAGACCAACATCAAATCATCTATGGATGACACAAAGCGTGAAACTGGAAGCTGCGCAGTGCATCTGTCCTCTTTTCCCAAATCACAGCAGGAATAGATCTCCACAGACCTAATGTAGGACACAGTGCAATGCACCTTTAAATAATTTGTCAGGCTCTTCATCCTTTTGAAAGAGACAACTTTAGCATTTCCAGTGTGTATTTTTAAATTATTGACCACAGCTATGTGAATTATTCACTGTTAACTTGACATGACTGCATGCTTCGAGAGCAGTCTGTTCAGCTTCTCGGGACGGTAATGTTTCAGTTTTTTAATCTTTGTAAACCCAGCAGTGCTTTTGCGTAATCTCTTCACACTGAGGAGAATTCAATTTGTATTTGTATCTGTATTAACTGCAGTGACTTCAAGATGCTGTTGAGCCCCTTCAACAACTCATCCTCACTGTGACCTAGTCACATGTCCATGTTTGGTCATGGACTTTCCACGTCCACATATGGCGTCCAAGGTACCCTGGGTGTGTTGGTTGTTGACGTTCAGGGACGCCGTGTCAACTTCAGCCTGTTACATGCATTGTCTGTTTTCAAAATACACTTCTGTTTTCACAGGAAATGTACAGTTTGATACAGTCTCTTTCAAAATAAAAGCACTATGCTGGTACAACACCACAAACTGACATTTTTCCTTCCTTCAACAACAAGCACACGTGGTTGGGTTCAGGAAAAAATAACAGGGTTTGGCTTTATAAACCGCTCTCTCTGTGAATTTTGAGGTTTGTTGGACTCGTCCACCACCCCTCCTGCCTGCCCCAGATGGTCTTTTGCCACCTTAAAAGGATAGTGCACCCAAAAATGAAAATTCAGCCATTATCTACTCACCCATATGCCGAGGGAGGCTCAGGTGAAGTTTTAGA